TGTGGCACACTAGGCTGATTTTGATGACAAGAAGGGATCAGACAGAGATTAATAATCTTGTTCCATTCAACTGCACCATGGAACGCTAGCACGATGTATATCTATGACAAGAAGGGATCATAGGCCAGGTCTGGGAATGAAGTCATGGAGTGTGTGAGACCAACTTTAGAATTCTATCTATGAAAATATTCTCATATTTTCTTAGTGCTATGAGATTTTCAAAATGTTTCCTGCCTTTGGTTACAGTGATGCAAGGGACATTTTTATAACGAGGGTGGTGACTGCTCTCCATTCTCCCCTTCCCAGGTCAATCTAAAGTTGAGGTCTCCAATTTCATCCTGGATGTCAGAAATAGGAGAGAATGTGTAAACATAAGAGAAATTTACTTTCCACAGTTCCGAAGCCTCCAACTTCCAAGATCTGCGTGCCAGTCCATGTGATGGCCAATAAGTCCCTCTCCCTGGTCCATAGGCAGCTAGCTTCTTGCGGTCGTTTTGCACTTGAGAAACGGCAAGGCTGTGTCTCTGGGGTATCTTCATGGGGAACTGATCTGATTTAGGGAGTATTGTAGGGGAAATGTTAGCCATGCTCTCTTGGGGGCTGGCACAGGTGACGCAGACCACGCACACTAGGGCATGGTCAGTGACGTAGCAAGACCTTAAATATGAGGGTCGCTGGCAGGCGACTCTCTTATTCCATGGTTCACCTGGTTGTAGGGGACTGACTCGGTGGCATGAGTACTCTCCTATTAAAACATCTGTTAGTCAAACTTGGTCCTTTGCGGTACGCATTTATTGCGCCCCACTATAGGAGAGTCTATGCTTTCTAGACCCAAACGTCTCCACAGGCTCTACCTTTTAAGAGCGTCACTGAGGAAGCCAGGCTGAAATCCTGGCAGAGACATTTAGTCCATTGTAATAACTAAGATCACAGATGGACCCAAGCCTCAGGCCTTGGAGGAGTCATGGGGATAAAGGCAGAACTTAACATGAACATGGAATAATTCCAAGATCACACAATAACCATTTTTTTTAATATTTTAAAGGCTCTAATGTAAGAAAGGAATAGGTCCTCAACTTCAGGAGCCTAAAATAAAACTCATTAATGGAAGATATGAGAAGATTGTTGGCTCCATGTGGGAAAGTGCTTTCTAAGGCAGGTGGACAGATTGTTGGAGCTAGTCTGCTTATGGCATGATGCTCTCCCTGGCACTGCTCCAGAATACATAGGTAACAACTTGATATCAATGGCATGAGAAAGTGGAGTTGGGTTAGGTGGGACTCTAGGCTCCTCCTCCTCTTCCTCTTCCTCCTACTTCTCCTTCTTCTTCTTCTTCTTCTCTTTCCCTCCCCCCCTCCTCCTCCCCACCTTACCTTCTTCCCTCCACTCAAGGTTGAAGCCAAGGCATCTTTCTTGATCACTCTCCACCTTCTTCTTTGAGACAGGATCTCTCAATCAAACCCAGAGCTCACTCAAATAATTAGTCTGTCTAGCTGGCTTGCTCCTCAGGGATCTCCTGTCTCTGCCTTCCAAGGCTGGAACTACAGAGTAGCCACCACACCCACCCAGTATTTATAGAGGTTCTAGGGATCCAAACTCTGCCTACCTTGCTTGTTCAGCAAGTGGTTTGACCACTGAGCCATCTTCCAGGCACCCACATACACACATTTTGTCCTTCCTTTAAAAAAAAAAAAAAAAAAAAAAAAAAAAAAAAAAAAAAAACATAGCTCAGGCTGACTTTGAACTTGCTCTGTAGCTGAGTAGGACCTTGAACTTCTGATCCTCCTGCCTCTACCTCCTGAGTTCTGAAAATTTGAGCCCATGTCATCACACCCAATTTATGTGGTGCTAGAGATCACACCTAGCTCTTAATGCCTGCTAGGCAAACACTCCATGAACTGCTCTATATCCCCAGCATTGCCCTGAAGGTCATTGTTTGACGATGACATCACTACTGTTTCTTTGGTCCAAATCCTCCACTTTTTTCTCCTCTACCAGGTACCCATATGCTTCTTCTCCACCATGATGGTAAATACTACAGCCTAAGATCAGCTCCAATGTGTCCTCTTTTTCCAGGTGCCTATTTTCACAATCAAGTTTGAACAACAGAAAATATGGAGTGTAGATAGAAGGAAAAATGGTAGATTATGCAAAGGCGTAAGTGTCAGGCCAGCAGAGCTTTGAGGGGTGACCATTAGGGTAAGATGCTGGTGGGAAAAAAAGAACTAATACCAAGGATAAGCAAAAGGATAAAGTATAGGCAAGATAGAGGTCTATCAGGCTATGTCTGGGGACAGTACAGGGTTATAAACACCAATGAAGATAGAACATAAGGAACAAGATTGATGCAACAGACTCATGGTAGGAAAGTCAATGGAAATTTACAGACCTGCTCTTGCTAAGATGGCAAAGCTTCAAGAGTCAGAACCTAGCTAAGCAGCAGTCTGACTTAGCCACGGGTGGAAAAGCAACTCTCAGAAGACCAGACAGACAGTGGATTCAAATGTCAAGAACAAAAGGTGGCAGAGACCCAAAGGGGTCAGAGTGGCTACTCAATGCCAGGTGTTAAGAACTTCCCCCAAAGACTAAGGAAACATTCATCCAACATCAACAAGTTGGAAGCCACGTCACTCATCACTGGCTTTTGAAAGAACCAAGGCCAGCTGCTGAAAGACTTGTTCCCAGGTCAGAGCATGCCCAGGTGAACAACCTGATCATGTCCCAGATTTCCAGGGTCAGCTACATCTGATAGCTTGAAAGCCTGCCTGATCGAAATTGAATTTGTCACTGCCTCCTCTGGGCTTCTCAAACATGAAAAGAAACCACTTTCATGAACATAAAAGATGATAGTGAATGTCTTTGTTCTGTGGCCTTCCTTTCCAGTTAGGGAGTGGTTTATACAGATAGAGGAAGTGCACACTGGTACTTCACAGGCAACTTTTGGTTTCTTGACCAGTATCATTGCCACGTCCTGCATGACTAGGTCCTGGAAACTTGGCTAGGGCAACATGGGAATGAAGAAACAACAGAGAGTGAAGAAATGACAGCTACACATACAGAAAAGCTGGGTCAGGTGGGCTGTGCTCACTCTGATGGAGGACACCTACTATGCAACCAGGAAATTCAGCACATTTATTATGTACAGTGCAACGAAGAGGGGTTAGCTAGGCTGGCTAGGTCAGTAGAACAGTCTAAGGTTGCAGTCATCGAGGAGAAGGAAGCCGAGGATGCTAGTTTTTGCACACACTGGTCAATCATCATAAACACTCAAACTTAGACCAGAGGAAGGCTTTCTCATTCCCCTGAGACTTACTTGAGGAAGGGCTTGCCACTGCCATGGGGCTGAGGCACTGGCATCGTTGACACACCCATGCCCATGCCCATGCCAACAACACAAACTTACTCAGGAATTCACCCACTCTCCACATATTTTTGAGCTTTGTCTTCACAGCCAGCTGAAGAAGTTCTCTAACATGTACTTCAAGAAAGGACCAGGTCCCTGGGAACGTGGAGGAAGAAAGAGCAGGAAAATCATAAGAACCAGAGGACCGTAAGGACTGATGTGAGACAGTGTCTTCTGACAGGACAAGGATGCCGAAACCATGAGCTCTTAGAGTACAGTTACCTGAACAAGATCCACACAAGGTCGTACCAATCAACATGGCACCGGGGATGAGGGGAAGGCTCTCAAGGACACACCCCAACATCAGTTGATGGCTGCTGAGGAAGGGAGAGCCCTTTTATTCAGAGACAAGCGCCAGGTGATAGGTTGCCTATGCCCACACAGTCAGTCCCACAGCAAAGTACATATGCACAGACTAATTGTACTCAGTGGAGTGTGTGTGTGTGTGTGTGTGTGTGTGTGTGTGTGTGTGTGTGTGTGTGTGTGTGTTATAGAGGAAGATGACATGAATTTGAAAGTGGGGTGTTAGGGGTTACTGGAGGAGTTGGAGCGGGAAGGTAGAGCTGGATATGATAAAAAATACTTGGTACTCATGTATACAATTTTAAAACTTTTTTAAATTAATTTTTAAAGCTCTTCTTACCTGATCAAAAGTAGCCTGCTGTCTAAAAACAAAACCTTTTGTTTTGTTTATCTTTTAATTAATTTTTATTTAAATTAGAAACAATCTTATTTTGCATACCAATCCCAGTTCCCTCTCCCTCCCAACCTCCCATTCTGGTGAGGAAATGTCCTGAGCCCACACTTTCTAAACTAATAGAAATCATTAGCAGTTCAGTCCATCCTTGTGAGCTGGTGTTCACCGTAGCTGGGCAGAGGTGGTGAAGAAAGGTGCAGATTGTCATGTGTTGACTATTTGTACACTCAACTCATTCATAAGTAGGAGCATTAGCCCCCAGAGTATTGGAGTTGGGAGGCGGGTTTCTATATTTCCCTAATTACTTCCTACACATATCACCTGCCTCCCAAGCGGGACTCTCTGCAATTGCAAATGCCTCGTAAGTTTCTGCTTTTATCCTTGCAGAAGAATCTGTTGAAAGATCAGTTGGTGAATATTCACCCTTTTCCTAGATATTAGGACCTGCGTCCTCCATTCCCTTTACCCTGACCAGTCGCCTCTCTCCACCCCTGCCCTGCTCCTTAGGATATAAAATATTGTGAGATATAAGACATAGATAGACCTTTTAGTGGCAAAGTGAGTGCAGCAAGGGTCTCAAAGTATAGCACGTGCCTACTTCTACTCCTAGTCAACTGCCTTTTCTTTCACAGGATCCGTTACAGTTCTAATTCAGTATTTGTGTTTACGCATAACTGTGTAACTTGGTTTTTCTCACTCTGAGGGCAAGGAGGGAGCAGGGGCTGTTTTGTTTCCTGGGGTATCCTAAAAGCAGCGTAAGTCCTGGCCAGTAATAGACACTCAATGTGCTCGTTGAATGAATGAAGGCATAAATGGAGTGTCCAGACAAAGTGTTTCCTCCGATCTTCGCATTCTTATTTCACCAGTTTAACAACCAAATCATCCTGCTGTCTCTTTCAGACGGCACAAGATATACAAAGAACAGTTCAACCTTACCTCCTGGGATCCCCCGCTGCAGCTCCGGCCAGAGGCCAGCTGGATCCAGTTCCACTTGGGGATTAACAGCCATGGGCTATACTCTAGGTCCAGCCCTGTTGTCAGCAAGCTCCTCCATGACATGAGACACTTCCCTACGATCAGCGCTGGTGAGCTTCATGGGGTTAGGCAGAAGAGACTGACTTTATCCCAGAGGCCAAGATGAGCCATCTCAGGCCAGGCTCCAGGAACTAGTCAAGGGTTGCCACCAATATATGATTCTACAAGGTGAATAGGAAGCAAATTGCCTGCGAATTTCAAGATTCCATTGTTTTTTTTTTCCACTGAGTAGAACTCCATTGTGTAAATGTACCAGGGGTTGCTCATGGACCCCAGACTGATAACTGGGAAACCAGCATAGGACTGTTCCAGACCCCCTGAACAAGGATGTTAGTTTGGAGGTCTGGTTAAACTATGGGGCCTCTGGTAGTGAATCATTATTTATCCCTAGTACATGAATGGACTTTGGAAACTCATTCCACATAGAGGGATATTCTCTCAGCCTAGACACACAGGGGAGGGTCTAGGCCCTGCTCCAAATGATATGACACACTTTGAAGATCCCCCATGGAAGGCCTTACCCTCCCTAGGGAGCAGAAGGGATGGGATGGGGGGTTGGTGGGGGGCAGGGGAGGAGGGGAGGGTGAGGGAACTGGGATTGACATGTAAATGAAGCTTGTTTCTAATTTAAATTAAAAGGGGGGAAAGAAGCAAACTGTACTCCCTTTGAAGGAGATCTCATTGCATTAATCTCATCACAGAGAGAAACCTAAGACACAGAGACCTAGATGGTCTGCCCTCTTCACAGAAGGTGATGCCATTGCTTACTGAGTGCATCCTTTGTACAAAGTGATGTGTTCTTTCTTGCATCCTTCTTGCAAAAAACATTATCACCATCACTGACAAATGGGGTACAGCAAGCTGGGCAAAGCCAATGCTGGACCTAGGATTCAAACACAAGCCTATTAACCCCAAGTTTGTACTTTCAAGCACCTCTGACAGTACATGTGACACAGAAAGTTATTAGCAGAGAAGAACTAGACCAAGAATGGCTGCAGTATCTAGGGAAGGGCTAGAAGGCATGGAGTCTGGGAAGGAGCCACTGTAGCCACTGGGCTCTGAACAATGGCCTTCTGGTTGGCTAAGATTCCCAAGCTACAATAGTCCCTCCTCCAGTGGAGCAGGGTCAGAACTGGGGAGCCTTCTTTGTTGGGAACACTGCAGGAAGTGCTCATTGCCCTTCTTCTCTTTCACAGATTACAGCCAGGATGAAAAGGCCTTGCTGGGGGCCTGTGACTGCTCACAGAGTAAGTGACCTGACCCAGCCTCTAACCAGCCTCCAACGGGGGCTCTCCCTGCCCAGTCTCTGAGAACTCAACACTTCCCCAGCCATCTTAGAAACCGAAGAGCATCAAACTGGTCCAAATGTGATACAGGGAGAAGTATCATCAGCATCACTAGGAAGCTTGTTAGAAACACAGAATTCCCATCTCTGCTCTGATTTTCTCAATCAGAATCTGAATGCTGACAGAATCCCTGGTGATGGGAGTAGGATTTCAGATCCCAGAGGCAACTTTATAGGACAATGGTTCCTGATGCTGCATCTTACCCCTGAGAGCTCTAGAGAGGGCTATTGCCTGGCTCTGCCTCTAGGCATCTGGGCTCAACTGCAGAGAGAGAGGTCCATGTCAAATATATATATATATATATATATATATATATATCTCCCAGGTGATTCTCATGCAACCAAGGTTGAAACTTAGTGGGGTAAATGTCAGACAGAATGGGAAAGCTGGGAGAAAAAGGCAGCAGGGCCCCTCTGGGTAATGCAAACTGGTTTCAGGTAGGTCTGAACAGTGAAGCCTGCAAGTTTCCCCCCTGAGTGAACTCAATTATCTACCTAGATGTGCTGAACACACATCTCTACATATGCATGAGATGACACATGCCTGTAATCCCAGAACCTGAGAAGCTTAAGCAAGAGGAACATGTGCCCAAGGCCAAACTGGGTTACATAAAAAGATCAAGGCCAACCTGAGCTATGAAGCAAGACCCTATCTCAAAGGGGAGGGAGGAGAGGAGGAGAGGGGATGAGGAAAGAGGGATACAGAAGAGAGATGAAAAGGCAGGAAGAGTGTGAGGAAAGGCAGGGAAAGGGACGAGAAGAGGACAGGATAACAAGAAATGTAAGTGTCATGATAAATCTTCAAATTCACCAATTTTCAGGTCCGTGCATGACATTCTCAAAAATACTGTTTTAAAACAGGGAGCAAAAGCTCCTGGGTTTGATCCCAGAACCACAAAACAAAGTAAGATTAAAAAAGAAGAAGAAGAAGAAGAAGACGAAGAAGAAGAAGAAGAAGAAGAAGAAGATAACATATATGTTTAGAAAGTCTAAATATTGCTGGAAGTTGGTGGCACATGCCTTTAATCCCAGCACATGGGAGGCAGAGGCAGGCGGATCTCTGAGTTTGAGGCCAGCCTGGTCTACAGAGCAAGTGCCAGGATAGGCTCCAAAGCTACACAGAGAAACCCTGTCTCAAAAAACAAGCAAAAAGAAGAAGAAGAAGAAGAAGAAGAAGAAGAAGAAGAAGAAGAAGAAGAAGAAGAAGAAGAAGAAGAAGAAGAAGAAGAAGAAGAAGAATTATTATTTTACAAACCCTAGACCCAGCCCAGGCATAGAATCTTACAGGAAGCCATGATTGACACAAACGTCTCTTATAACAGACAACATAGTAGGAAATCTTAAGATCACAACTGGAACCCAAAGACAGTCTCAACCCTTTGAGGAAAACAGTCTATGGGGAGTTTTCAATAGTTCCTGTTTCCCAAATATCTGACGTCTTCCTAAACTGACAGAATAACTGTACTGAGCTTTATGAACACAGCCAGCTACAATGGAATTTGTCCCTCAGGCTTTGCAAAGCGTGTCTTCTTTGGGGTCATCTTAAGTAACAGAAAAAGACAGGGTTATGAGTGGTGCCACAGCCCTGCACTTAGACCTCACCCTTCTACCCCTCACAGTTGTGAAACCCAGTGGGGTCCACCTGAAGCTAGTTCTGAGGTTCTCGGACTTTGGGAAGGCCATGTTCAAACCCATGAGGTAAGTGAAGCCTTCCTCACCACCATGTGCCTGGTAGCAACCCTGTAGGAGCTCTGACCAAAAGATAGTAAAAGTAATCTAGTATCTTTATCCCCATCTACCCCACACATAGAACTGTTTTGGTGACAATAATAATTAAAGACAATAAGAGCTACTCAGACTGTTGACTTGGGCCCTCAGTAGCATGGATACTGCACATACTACATGAATTGTGATTTTGGACATCAACAGTCTCATGAACCTCATGACCCAAGTGTAACTATAATGTCCGCACCGAGGTAAATACACTATGCCCTATGAGAATCCAGGTTGCCCCAGACTCCACACTGTAAACAGTGGGCTCAAGAATTACAGCCAAGCAGCTAGACTGCTAAGCTGACTCGCTCCTGCTATAATGAATCCTCACCCTTGTCCAGGACCAACAATCACCCTCTTTTTTGACATTACAAAGTTTACTTCGCATGGCAATACTTGCTTTGGCTGAAAACCTAGATAATGAGAAAGGCTGCTACAAACTCCTGTACACATATGCATCAATTTATATTTTATTCACAGCAACAGCTTCCATGTGTTTGGACTTTATAGTACATGTCCATGAATGAAATGATGGCAGAGTTTGGTATATGCATGCACTCGTGTGTGTGTGTGTGTGTGTGTGTGTGTGTGTGTGTGTGTGCTACAAGCTCCCAGTGGGTCTGTAGGTCACAGGTTTGGGTTTCCTGGAGTAGAGTGCAATGTCTTGGCCCAGTAAAATGTTCTCTTGTAGATGGCATGCATAGGAAGGAATGTCCCCATAAAGGGTGCTGTTGCTCAAGTCACATGTTCCTCCAGAGTTTTCTGCTGTTTGTGTTAACTTAGATGCACACTTTGCAGCCAACTGAGGAGAAGCCTACTGAACAGCCCAGTCCCTGGCTGAGGAGCCTCTAGACCTGAGCATGGAATGTGTCTCAGTCTTCTGAATTAGGGAACAAAAGCACCTCTTTAAGTACAGGCTGGAGTCAATGAGCTGCATGTCAGAGTCCCTTTGGAACTTTGAGCAGCTGCCATGTCTCAGTCCCACTCTCTCAGAGTCCAGTGGGCTTGCTCTAGCCCAACCCCCATGACCCCAAGGCCCAAGCAACCTTGAGAACCCTTTCTATAAGGAGTCAGATATACAAAAAGCAAGTAGTTTATTCACTTTAAATATACAACTGTTCAGTGATAGGAAACATTTGACTATCATATGTTCATATTTATTATTTTTTTAAATCCCACCACCCACCATATAAAACTATACATAAAATTTAAAATGTGGCCCCATACACACTTTCACATTTCACTTGCCAAAAGTACTTGCATCGGACCTTATCATCCCTGGAGTCAGGCTGAGTGTCAGTGTTAAGCCAAGTGTTCTTTCCATCACCCCTGATGTTTAGGTTGACACTGGTCTCGATTCCATCAGGCCACGAGGTCAGCGCAGATAGGAGTGGGGGGGGGTGTCTGTGTCTGTGTCTGTGTGTGTGTGTGTGTGTGTTTTGTTGACCTCCTAGGCTTTTCTCAATCTAATCCAGGAGCCAGTGAAGCTTATAACCCATCCTACAAATGAATCTGCCTCAGTCAGATAAAGTAAACTATGCAAGACACTGAATGTAAAAACACTCCTTTTCCTAAGGACAGTTTCAGGAGGGGATCTCATCTTATAGCCAAACATGTATGCAGAGCACACAACTTGTGTGTATGTGTGCATGTGTTCGAGTTTGTGTCTGTCTGTCTGTCCATCTCTCTCTCTCTCTCTCTCTCTCTCTCTCTCTCTCTCTCTCTCTCTCTCTCTCTCTCTGCACATGTGTGTGTCTGTGTCTGTCTGTCTGTCTTTGTGTGTGTGTGGTTGCAAATGCTTCCATGTGTGTGGAGGCCAGAAGACAGCCTTGGGTATTGTTGCTGAAGTCCTGTTTGTTTGTTGGTATTTTGTTAGTTTGTTCTTTGAGAAAGTCTCTCACTGGCCTAGAACTCACCAAGTAGGTGAATGTCTCTACCTCCCCAGCACTGACGCGCTACTTTGGACAGCCTCCCTGGAGGTTTTCAGGATTGGTGTGTGCTCTTTGGGCAGTGTGCCTAACTATTTGGCTTGTAGAAACTGGTTGTTTGTGTGCTTCTTTGTGGCTCTACTTTTACACTTTGCTTTTCCAGTCTTCTGAACAGCTTCACACTCTGCACTATAAAAGTATCTGAAGATCATCCTCCTTCCCCATTTTATGAAAGTGAATCAGTGCCGAGGCCAGAAGTCGGCCCAGGATGCCAGAGCGCTTTCTAACATGGCACCACACCTCCCAGAACACTCTACAAGGTGGTGCTCTCCAGGAATCCATTAAAATTGGAAAATGGGGCCAGATCAATTTTATCTATGTTGGCCTCCCTCAAGTCTCTGGCTGGGTCCATTCTAAAGCCACACCAGTTTCTAAGAGTTCTGTCACCTGTATTTTTCCCTCAGACCCATACCTTTCCAGTCCTTGCTCACAAACATCCTAAATTCCTTCTCTAACACTTTCTATTGCTAGGTTCTCACCTTTTTTCATACTTGGGTATCCAGGTCCGCAGGTCTCCTTTAATAACCTTTTCCCTCTGGCTAACACCTGCATGAGAATGCTTGCTTTCCTTCCTTTGGTTTTGGGCAAATCAGCTGCTATTCCCAAAACTTCTTAAGCAGGAAACTTGGCGATGATGGTCCATATAAAAAGCCTGCCTTTTCCTATTTTGCACGTCTCCTCCCCGTTCAGGAAGGGAGAGGTCCTAATTTGTGGGTCCACCATCTACACCTATGTGAGAAGCATCTGACAGGCTCTCTCCTTGGGCTTACCACAGAAGGCTCAGTCCAGGGCGTAATTCCTTCCTTCCAGACAGCAGCGAGAGGAGGAGACACCCGAGAACTTCTTCTATTTCATAGACTTTCAGAGACACAATGCTGAGATTGCGGCCTTCCACCTGGACAGGTAGGTCTGGCCCCTGGAGATGATGAAGGCTGCAAGGGCCAGTTCCCCGGGGAGGGCTGCTATCTAGACCTTTGGGAAGAACTCGGCAGTACTTGCTCCTTCTGGCTTTTCATCTCTTCAACCTCAAGTTGAATTTCTCCTTCCAACTCTGTTAGGTTAAAACTACAAGGCTTTTAAATATAATAAACAATTTATGTATAGTTTTATCTTTATATTCTTATTTTTTGTTTGCTTTGCTGAGAGGCACTGTTTATATAGCCTAGCTTGGTCTCTCATTCACCCCATAGGTGAAGCTAGATTTGAACTCCTGATCCTCCAGTCTCTGCTTCCCAAATGCTGGGCTTATAGGTATACACCACTATGCCTGGAAAAATGAAGCAACTTAGAAGACAGTCACATTGCCGTGGCAGATATGACTGCCTTTTGTTCTGCTTGCTGGAGATGAGAAATCAGAACCTGTATTTGGATCCTCAAGTGACTAGTAGGCACATTCAAGTCTGAAAACATTGACCAGGACACAGCCTGGGTGGTGGGAGCATTCACCTGGGAGCTCAGTGGAAGAAGGATCCTTCCTGCACCACTTCCAGAGTGGACTTGCCCTGCTCTTGACTGGGTCCTCACAGCAGAAACACCCTCAGCAGCTACATCACTGCTGTATTCACACACACAAGGTTCTAACGTGCACTGGAACAGACACAGGGCTTTTTCGCAGCCCCTGACCGTTACTTAGGCCCAAATGAATACACAGAAACTTGTATTAGGTACAATGCTGCTTGGCCAATGACTAGGATTCCTCATCTGCTAGCTCAGTCTTAATTATCATAAATCTGTATATGTTATAAGATTTATCTTATCGGATGCCTTATTGGCATCCCTCCTTGCCGGTGGCTCATATCCTGCTGCTGGAGGAGGCGAATGGGAAAAAGGGCCCTTCCTGTTTCTCCTTCGCTTAAATATGAGTCTCCTTGCTATGTCACTTCCTGCCTGGATCAGCACTTCTCTGCTACATTTCCCAGAATCCTCTTTGACTCCTAGTCCTGTGTAACTTCCTGTCTCATTGGCCAAACAGTATTTTATTTAACAATCAATAAGATAAACATACACAGTAGTACATTCCCCATCACCTGACTGTCTCTCAACTCTGAACAAGGCTCCTTCTCTTCCAGGATTCTAGACTTCCGACGGGTGCCGCCAACAGTGGGGAGGCTAGTGAATGTCACCAAGGAAATCCTAGAGGTCACCAAGAATGAAATCCTGCAGAGTGTTTTCTTTGTCTCTCCAGGTGCAGTATTAGCCGGAGCCACACTCTGGGTGTTAAGTATATGTAAGGCACTGTTGTGCACTGTTCGGCAGTGGTCCGAGCTCTGCCATTAATTAACACATGCATTACTGGGGTAGGAGAGTGCTGCTGTCCAATGTTCCCACCCATGTCTGCTTCAACGTAACACCAGATAAACTACAACGGTAAAAAAGGTGTGTGAGATGCTGACACACCGCCACAATGCTGGCCTCCCGGGAGCCAGAGATTATCCGTGCAGCCTATCAAAGAATATTCATCACATGATAGGATGCTCTGAGACATCTGGAACTTGGTACCCAAAATGCTCCATTTAGTTGCATCTTCCAGGTCCAACATCCTTTTCCGGAGCTGGAGTTCAAGATTCGCATCCTACTCCTAGGGGCTTCTTAGGGCAGCAGATGACATAGTTATAAGCCCCCACCTTAGTTCTCTCTCCTCCCTCTGCCTCCAGCTAACAACGTGTGCTTCTTCGCCAAGTGTCCGTACATGTGCAAGACTGAGTATGCTGTCTGCGGCAACCCACACCTGCTGGAGGGCTCCCTCTCCGCCTTCCTGCCATCCCTCAACCTGGCCCCCAGACTGTCCGTGCCCAACCCCTGGATACGTTCCTACACACTGTCAGGAAAAGAGGAGTGAGTTGGCTTCCTGACCACACCGCCATGCCCAGGGCCCTGCAGGCCAGCTCTTCAGAGTGGCCACAGCTAAACCCTAACAGCTATCGCGATCCTCTTACTGATCGTAGGACCAACGGATCAGATGTCCACTCCCTATAGTTCATGTTGGGTGGTAAAGTGCTTATTCTATAGCAAAGAGCCACACACAGAGGCTGGGGAGATGCTCAGTGGCCAATGCTTGCCATGGAAGCATGAAGCCCAGCGTTCAGATGCCCAAAACCCACTTAAAGCCAGGCAGTTGTGGCAGCCACCTGTCATCTGAGACACTGGATCCCAGCCACAAAGTAGCTAGATAGACTAGTGAGAATTGGTAAGTTCCAGGTTCAGCAAAGATATTGCTTCAGTAAATAGTGGGGAGGAATGGAGGGAGACACTGGACATCAACTTCAGGCCCCGCATAGGTGTGAGCCTACACACATGAACTTGTACACATATACACATGTGTATCACATGTGTATCACATGTATCTCAATAAAGAAGCACACAAGAGCTGGGGGAGTGAAACCCGGAGTAAGACCCCCTGGCTGGATACCCAGGGCCTAGCATGTCTAACAGAGTAGACACACCACATGAGTGGGCTCAATGAATAGATCCATTGGCAAATCACCAGTTCTGATGGGAAGCTGACAGAAGAATTTCCAGCAGACATGACTTTGTGAGACCGTGTGAAGGCAGGGCATGTGTAGCAGAGGCCAGTCTGTGGGTCACGGTGGGTGGTGTAGGAGTTCTGGAGGACCAAGAACAAGAGCAACCAGGGGTGGGTGCCTGCCTTCCTACCACCTACTCTGTGACACCCTCTCACATGTGGCATCCCAGCCTTCCACTGAGCATTCAGCAAAGTCAAAGGGCTCTGAACCTTCCCACCACCTGGAGTGAGTCTGCAACCTCCCTTCCCAGATGCTCTTGCCCAGGGCTCTCCTGAAGAGAGCTAGCTGCCACCTAGCATCCCGAGACCACTAGCCCAGGGCAGGCTGGGGGAAGCAGGGATTTGGGAGCAGGAGATGGTATGAAGAGGGCCCCCAACACCGTGGCATTTTGGCTTTTCCAGCCCCAGGACTTCTTCTCCCCCTCAGGTGGGAGCTCAACCCCCTCTACTGTGACACAGTAAAGCAGATCTACCCGTACAACAGCAGCAACCGGCTTCTCGGCATCATCGACATGGCCATCTTTGACTTCCTGATCGGTAGGTACCCCTCACAGGGCACCTGGCAGAATCACACTCTGCTCTTTGCCTGGGATTCTTCTGGGAGACCTTAGCAAAATTACAGCCTGGATCAATAGGGGTGAAATAGCCCTGCATCTCCCATATACTTGGGGGGAAGTAGTCCAAGGAGACAAGTAAACATGTCCTGGTCTTGGAAGCGGGTGGAGGTGGCATAGGTGGGGGATGGGGGGATGGAAGGGGCTGCCACTGGTGAAGCAGATACACCACCCTGCCATAGGCCCACAAACCGGCATCAGATCTGAAGCTAGACATTCCCTTCACTCAGCGAGAGGAAGCCAGTAGGAAGGTGGGAAGCATGTAGCACTGAGAGGGCCAAAGCGAAGCCTCAGCTTCACAGGCTAGGAATTCGACCATCTGGTCCCACTGTGACCGGCAAGGATACTGCATGTTTGAGGCTGTCTGGGAGGAGAAAGCCCAACATGGATAAGTACAAGGGGCACAACCGCACAGTTGTGCTCACTACGCTGCCATGCTGAGGCTGGGGGAGAATAGAGTAAAAAGCCTAGAAACGCAGGTTGTGATTCATGCTTAGGCTCCTGTGTTCCATTCCCAGAAGGCAGGTCATACCCGTGGCCTTGAGACACTTGCTCTGATCTCTCCCCTCCATTGCAGGAAACATGGACCGCCATCATTATGAGATGTTCACCAAGTTTGGGGATGACGGGTACCTTATTCATCTTGATAATGCCAGAGGGTAAGCCCCAGTGTCCATGTCCGGGCTCTCCCTGTCACCAGCCAGGCTTCCTATAGCTGCTTGGACACTGGAGGCCCTGAGGAGGGCCTGCACTGCCTGGACCTGTGTCCATCTTGCCGTTTCCCACAAACCTTTTCTTCTGCTCTTTGCTAAGTACCACTGATTGTCCAGTGTAAGAGCGCTCTAGTGCCCACCAGTGAACCAGGCTGAGATTCCCTGTGTCTTTTCACTTGTTACTTTCCTAGAAGCAGAGAGCGTGGCTTAGCTTCAGTGGCTGGCCTGCAGAGGCAGGAGGGTCCTGGTTGTAACCTGACTGAAGAGGGAAATGTTGAGACAGCTGCCATGATGTCTGGCACCTTATCCCAACTTATTCAAAGAAGGGTTAGGGAAGAGAGCATCCAGAGTGTATGTGACAGCCTCAGCCTGAAGCCCATTTCTTCTCCTAGGTTCGGACGACATTCCCAGGACGAAATCTCCATCCTCGCCCCTCTCTCACAGTGCTGCACGTAAGCTTTCACGGTGTGAAGTCCCAAGGGCAGGCAGCAGTCCAGTCATTTCAGCCTGCCTGCAACCTAACTATGAAAGCCTTCATCAGTTTTCCCTGGTCAAGGACATCACAGGCAGAATGATGTCAGCTGCCTGCTTCCCATAGTGTAGCTGTCGCCCCCCTACCCCCACCCCGTGACATCTCCTTAGCAGAAAACAAATTAAGATCTGATCTTTTTTGAATTGCCAACTTTAATCTTTAGCCCACTAAGATAATCACCCACTTTTTGCAGATATCAATGCTATCTGGTATTAATAAGCAGCCCTTCACTTTTCCTGGCCCTCGTGTTTGCTCTTAAGTATTGCTATTTTATCACCATCGATTGAAGTCTGGTAAGCTGGGTCAGACTGCAGTTCTAGCCCCTTCTCTAAGGACACCTACTTCTGCATCTCTGGCATTTTAGCCAGGCTTGTGACATTAGGCCCCTCCTAACTATAGTGCATTTGTTCCCTTGGCACAAGAGTGGTCCAAACAAGTTCATTTAAACATCTCTCCTCCTGGGCATGATGAGCAGTTGTTTTTGTCAAAACTCAGCGAGCTGTGCTGCTTGCATGAGTCTAAAAGAAATGAAAACTCTAAAGTCAAAATGGACCTAGTGGCTTGTTATCCCTATGGTTTCAGAATCTAACACAGGAGACACATCCTGAAGTTGGCAGATGGAGGCTGAATTTTTAGTCAACAAACAACTTTATCAACCTACTGGAAGCTTTTTTAAAATCTTAAAAAACAAACTTTAAGAGCCACTTCATTTGACTCCGTTAACACTGACTGTCAGAGTAATCACATATGATTTGTCACCACCATGGGTGACATTACAATTACTAGAGTTCTCGGCTCCATGGGTAAAGGGACCAGAGTTGATCTCCAGGATTCACATGGCAGAAAGAACCAAGTCCAAGTTGCCCTGTGGCTTTCACACACACACACACACACACACACACACACACACACACACCCACACACCCACACACACACACCCACACACACACACACACACACACGTTAAGAGCGCAAATGGCTTGGCAGCTCTTGACTAGACACAATTGGACGAAGGCAGTTGCCCACTGTTCTTTTTCTATGTAGCTTTCACTGAAATGTGTTTCCCTGGAAATAAAATCTCCAAGAATACCAGCCTGCAAGCGCTGTTTGTGGGGACTGGACAAGTACAGGCCAAGCTACTTTCCTTAGTTTGCTGATCTGGCTCCACTGGCTTTGTCTCATCAGGATAAAAAAGAAAACACTTTTGCATCTTCAGCTGCTGGCTCAGGCCGACTACAGACTCAGCGACGTGATGCGGGAGTCACTCCTAGAAGACCAGCTTGCCCCTGTCCTCACAGAACCCCACCTCCTGGCCCTGGACCGAAGACTCCACATCATCCTTAAGACAGTAGAGGACTGCATAGAAGCCCGTGGGGAACGGAGAGTCATAGCTGATGGCCCAGCACAACAGTCGGCTCCAGACTCTGGCCAGGCGAATCTGACAAGTTAATGGCTAGCTACAAGTAACCTCTGAACACACAACTGGAACCAGCTGTGGGTGCTGGTGTGTAGGCCCCTGCTGCTCCATTCCACCCTGGGGTGTTGGAGGCCAAGTCATGAGCTCAGGGAGGAGGCAGGAATGCTTTGTAAAAGCAAGTGGGATCCACCAAGCCTTATCTTTACCCTTGGATAGAGGTCACTGCTTTTACAGTGCGCTAGCTGGGGCTCTGTCTTCCTAGCAAGCTCTGACTCCATCACGGTTGCAGACTGTCTTCTGAGCACACTGTGAAACCTGGATCTGGGCCAGGCTTGGGGGTGTGGAGGCCCTGTTCCAGAAGTTTTTACTCTACCATGTCAAATAAAGGGACATCAAGTGGATAACTGGCTTCCTCCAAGTCCTTACTATATATGCAGGTACAGTGTTCTGCCTGGTCCACAAAAAAAAAAAAAAAAAAAAAAAACCTCATCTCCCAAACAGACCTAAAATTCTATAAATCTCAAGTTAATGCAAAAAAAGGAAAAAAAAAAAACAAACAAAAAAACCCTTTCTACTGCCATTCCAATGTCTATAGAAATACCAACTAAAGGTAAATTTGCTCAGAACGGGGACACTTCAGTTTGAAGAGTACTATCAGCTGAGGAGCTGTGTGGCTCCGGTGGAGTGCTTGCCTAGCAGATGCAGAGCCCTGGGTTCAAACCCCCAGTACTACATAAAACCAAGCACACTGGCAATGCTTGCAATGCCAGCACTCAGGAGGGTCAGAAATTCAAAGATATTCTCAGCTACACAGTGAGTTCAAGGCTAGCCTAGGCTGCGTGAAGAAAATAACACAAGTCAAAACTCAGACACAGGGGAAACTGGCAGCAAGTCAGGACTGCATGGGTGAAGAGTCAAGTAAAAATAAAGGGCTTCAGCAGATCACTTTGTCTTCTGATGAAAGCTAGAGGATCAAAAAGTATGAGGGAAGGAGGAAAAGGCACCACTAAGAGGGACAAAGTCAAGAATCAGAAAGGCTACCACAGACTTGTACGTATATCCAGAGACAGACAGGACAAACAATAGTAGTGTTGTTTTCATCTTGACTCGAGGGCTAGCCTGAAACTCCCAAGTGCCTGGATTGCAGGCATGAGTCACCATGCTTGTCTTGCAATGGACGGTTCTCACTCACCCTAGCACCCCACATTAGAGGTACACAATCCCTGAACCCAGTTTGCTCAATAACATTGCTTCTATTCACCCTAAAGCCTCGCCATGCCCCAGACACTTTACCAGCCTGAGAGTCGACATACAGGTTTGCAACCCTCCTGAATATACATAACCCCCTATTTCCAATGTGCAAGGAGGAGAACTAAGGCTCTCAAAAAGATTAAAATCATATCATTTTGTGGTTCAGACCTATTCTGAAGGGAAGTTGGTGAAGATAAATCTGTTAGCAGGAAAGACTCATACCAGAAAATACCAGACAAAAAGTGTAAAGTTGAAAGCTGGCCTGGGCTATGGAAAGAAAAAAGGCAAAAATCAGCTCTTTAACCAAGGAATCTTAGTGCTAAAGACTCTCCCATGTAGGGTGGCCCTTTCATCAGGTACAGCTTTTTTTTTTTTTTTTCAAGATGTATTTACTTATTATATGTGTACAGTGTTCTGCCTGCATGTATGCCTGCGAGTCAGAAGAGGGCACCAGATCTCATTACGGATGGTTGTGACCCACAATGTTGTTGCTAGGAATTGAACTTAAGACCTCTGGAAGAGCAGCCAGTGCTCTTAACCACTGAACCATTTCTCCAGCCCTGAGGCACAGCTTCTCACGTCATCACCTGTTTCTCCTTTTCTCCCCTGTGGAGGAAGCACTAGGAAGCCACTGAAGAATTGGGGGGAGGAGGGAGTGGAATCCTATGTTGAAAAAAAGGTTTGAGACTTTCAACCACTTGGGTGAGTTGCACTCCACCTCCAATCCAGCCTCCCTTGATGCAGACCAGCTTCTGAAGATTCTAGAATAAAATTTCTGATCTACTTTTCAAAATCAAAGTAACTGAATTTGATCATGATATGTTGATAGTGTTGAATAACTACATATACTTTACTTTTAAAATTCTAACAAAAAAAAACCTAAGACCAGCATTTTTCAAAAATACCAGAAAACACAAACATTCCATTCTCAGAAGTATCAAGTTCTCAAGGCTTGCTCACACTGAATCATTGCTCAACTTCCCATGAAAAAGTATTCTGAGTCTATGTGAAAACTTTCCATGTTACCACTGACAAGCAAATAAAAAGATGAAAAGACTATACAATGTGTGAACTGGTGGAAACCAGTTTGGAGGGGTACGCCACAGCATTCTCTCAAAGCAGGACAATTTAGACCTAAGGATAAGCCAACTCTCTCACATGCAGCACCCTTGGCCACTCAAGAAATACCCAACCAGGCTCCCAAGAGTCTCTAGTGCAATTCCGCCAACTACAGAGTCTCATCTGGTGTGGTGAAGATGCAGCGTGTTAGTTACACTGCTGGTTCTCTAACACTACTGCATCCGCCTACGACATATACTTTCACAGTAACAAACAGCTTCTCACACTCAGGAACACGAACCAGTACATGAGCACCATCCTTATGGATCTTTTAAACAGTGAGTGAATCCATCAACTTGCATGAAAACACACCAAAAATGTGGTGCTGGGCGGCGCCCCAAAATGACACATTCACAACTGATAGCTAAAACGAAGCATCGGGTGGGAAAGGGTACACCAGAGAATCAACGCTTCACTGCTCAGCTCCAGTCATCCAAGAGTGCTTCGGGTAGTGTGGCACTCTCGGGGTCACATTAGTTGTACCAAGTAGGAAAACTTGCAAATACAGAAGCCACAGACTAAGGAACAGCTGCAACTCATTTGGGGTTGACAAACTGAGACGAAAGAAAAAGCTCTCCACCTAGTGGCAACTTTTTAAAATCGCAAAGCTACTCAAACTAGTTCTTAACATGAAACAAACAAAAAATGAGGACACCCATGGATGGTTTTAGCTACAGGGAGTCACAATGAAGTCACAGCTCAAAAGTTATGTCATGAAACACATTTTAGTATGTACACAAAAATGATGATTCCTATGACAAGATCCCAAAATGTAACAAGGGAGAGATTTATGGTTCCCCTTGACAGTTAGCCACTATTCCTAACCAGAGTTTTGGTCCACCTGAGAACACACTGCCAGGGCTTAGCAAAGTATCACAAAGGGTCCAACCACTTATGGTTGTCAATAAGTGATACAACATAACAAAACCAAACCAAACACCATTGTCACTGTGCTACTCAATTTTAAAATGTCAACGCAACAGTGAAATGCATCATGGGCCAAGTTTTAAAGGATGGACTAGACTATTCTAAAGACAACAGATCCTGACTTTCTTCAGTTATGGTCCATCCAGTTGGTAGGAGGAAGGAATTCTGAACCTGTACAAGGTACACCTTACAAAGCAGAACTCAGCCACTAATGCTGGCTTCCCTGCACATGAAGAGCCCAGTTATCAATACACGGAGTAACTCAGCTCACTCCTCAAACTTGAGGAGCAAACATTAGAAACAAGGCTTGATATGTGCAAGATAAACACATCTCTAAGTAGCTAAGAGCATATCATACAAACCAAACTCCTCTGACACAGAAACCAAGCTTCCCAGCAAGTGTGTAAAGTCACAAGGCGTGCACAGGTCTGTCCTGTGAAAAGGAAACCATGGCTTTGGACAGTCTTCCTTCCGCAACTTGTTAGTCAATCTGCCACACACCCCTGAGCATTTTAACAAGGTTTTGAGATCCACCCTATGACAAATTGAATTGGAACGTATTAAAAATAAATACATACATTACTTTTGTCAAAACACGAATCCCAAAATTCATGTTCACTCTTGTCCACTGAACTTTTGGGGAGGGGCAGGAAGAAAAGGAGAAAAGGAAGAGAAACTGATTCATTTAAGAATTTAAATTATTTAATCTTTTTTATTCTGTGACCTACCATTGAGACAGTCTGTAACAAAAGAACAGCGTATATTAGATTAGCACACAGTATATCAAACTAGTATCCAGGAAACAGCAACTGTCCCTTTGGCCATCTCCGCTTTCTTAGTAGATCTGATTCATCCACCCATTCAGAGATGATGGTACCTAGAGTCCACAAAGACACAGTATGCCAACCATAACTTCTGACTAATATTTAAATTGCACAACGATAAAGCTTTAAATGTGGTAATTTTTAAATTTAGACTTATCTTGAGAAGTCTAAGAGTAAAAACTACAAAAGGGAGTAACCAGCAAGCTAGCATTATGTGGAGCTCTCTGGAAAGCAGGGTGTGTATCTGTATACAACAACAAAGGGATATATACACACAAAAATGCATCTTGTGGCATTCTACATCATTCATGTAAGTACATTTTTGGCATTTAAACAAATATCAAATTAAGCTTTAATCTAATAACATCATTTTTAGTTTTTAAATATAAAAAAGATAGCCAAACACAAAGTACAGAAAAACCCTCATTGAAGATAGTTAGAAATAGCAACAAGGTAGCTTTCTACCCCACACTAAAACCTAAATGAAACTTCTTTCCCAAGTTAGTAACAACCTAAAAGCATTTCAACCCATCAAGAAAAAAAATCTGTCATAACCAATTTAAGTTAGGGGAAACGGTAGGAGGGGATTATTAATCAGAACCATCTGCACAGACATGGAAAATGCTTGCAGTCACTCCCAAATAGAACCTGACATTGTACATAAACCACAGCATGCCTAGTTAGGAACTGAGAAACTTTGTTTAAAAAATAACAGTAATAAAAATAAACTGTTGGTTATCATTGGAATAATAACACATAAGGCTGGAAAATACTGAAATACAGTTAAGACTCAAACATAAGTTTACTTCAAAAAAAATAAATGAACACACACACACACACAAACAGAAATCAATAAAGTTTACCAGAGAAATTCAAGGTTAGACAGGAAAAGGTAGGACTTTCAGCAGGATG